ACAGACAGACGGACAGGGTCAAATCAACTCAGCTCGTCACCCTGATCAAGAATATATATACTTTGTGGGGTCTGCCACGCCTCCTTCTCCCTGTTACATACATTTCAACWAAACCATTATACCCTGATTTCCCATTGAAAATGGGTTCAGGGTATAACAAGTAAGAACGTTGCAGTCGGGCGATACCGATTGTAGAAGACTCATTCACAGCCCATTTGCTGTCAACCAGAGTATATGTTTGTGTATGTGTTTGTGTGTGTGTGTGTGTGTGTGTGTGTATGTATGCCTGTGTGTGCGTGCGTGCGCGTGTGTGTGTGTGCGTGTTTCTTGTGTAAGCTGAAAAACGCGAAAAATTATTGAAATAGCTATTACTCCAAGGGTTCAGGGGATCTCGTAGTTGAGCAGTCTCAACTAGAGCTTTCTTACTTGTTTTTCTTTTGATATATAGTAACTTAAAAAAAAAAATAAAAAGATAAAAGTAAAGGATCAAAGGATCAAATGAAAGTATCCTCAGAAATTACCTCTTCTTTGGTTTTCATTAACTAAATTGTTATTTTGCGTTTCGATAGACTCTAGAAGTGTCTTTTCTATATAATTATGGATTTATAGGGAGACAGATGAGGAATAGTATTATCCTTAACAAACCTAAATATCTTCGGAGCTATCAGGTGATAGGAATGAAATCATCCAGCCCATTGAATGCAGCAATTCCTTAGAGTATGATACAGTCTCTACCATAGTGTTTTCTCTAAAGGGATTTAGCATTTTGGAAAAAAATGTATTGTTGATATGAGCTATATACATATACTCCAAGAAGCTGTTATTTATCCATAAGAACGGTTTTATGGAACAGAACTTCCTTAACTTTTGCACTTATTGGATTCTTATAGCTTTTATTACACTTTTAATATTTTTATCAACAGTTAATACCATTTAAAGTTAATTACAAAAATGAATAAATTGAAAAAGCTTTCGTCAAAATACTTATGCCAAGCAAAACTGCGATGTTTGCATGCATTGTTATCAGCAAAAAGAGGACGAAAAAGGTAATCAGCATAAAATTAGGCATTCATAGATCTATTAATAGATTCTTTGCTTTGATCACAATTTTCGCTATTTTATTTAGCGGTACCAAACAATGCCAATGCTCCAACACAATTTTTCATCAAAAGGCCTCTGCCGACTGGTGTATATGGATAAATAGATAATTGAATGAATTATATTTTTATAAGTGCTTTGAAGAATTATTGAAGTATACTAAGTTGGACGATCTTGAATCTTGTAGTCGAAGAGTTTCGAGTATAGCTTTCTTACTTGTTTAAAATTTTAATTAATGTATTTTGAATATATCTGATATTTCAGTAAGTATATGCATCTTTCACACGAACATATTTCAAGTCTCTAGCTCTTATAAATTCAGAAATCGTTCATCCATACGGACGGACAGGGCCTTGATCCTTAATATATATATATACAGGGTTGTCCATTTTTGACTGACCCATGTTTTTTTCTTTTAAATCAAAGATAAATTTTTATTTGGATCAAGTAGATTGTTGACATCACTTTTTGAAGAAGATATCTCTCAAATGGCCGGCGTATTGTACCCGTTTTGCAGCATTTTTCATAGTTTTGGCTATTTCCTCACGAATGTTGTTTTTGAGCTCTTCTGTGGTCGTTGGCTTATTAAGATAAATTTTTTATTTAAAAAATCGCCACAAGAAAAAGTCAGTTGGTGTTAAATCGGCCAGTCGAAAAGCCATTTTTCGGCATCAAGCGACGAGGAAACAATTTCTTTTAAAAATCGATTGTGATGCGAGCGTGTTGTGGAGCGCCGTCTTGTTGGAACCAGAACTGCATCATACTCTTTCAACGGATAATTGGCATCACGAAAACGGTTATAAAAATCTGCTTAGACTAAAGCTTCCAACGCGGTGTGTTAATAAGCGATCTGGCTTCTCTGCTTAAAGATATAAGGCTGCCAGGTGGGTCAATCGAATATGGAAAGCCCTGTACATATGGTGTGGCACGCCTCCTTCTGCCTGATACATTCATTTAAAAAAAAAACATTATACCCTGATTTTCTTTTGAAAATGGGTTCAGGGTATAAAAACTAAAATCTGATGTGGGGAAAATAGTAAATCTATAACTGCAGTGGCTACAGACGGCAGTGAGCAGCGCATGTGGTGGAAATATTATTACTGTATATTTTAATTTAGCATTTCCAACTGTACTGTTTATATGTATATCCTTCAAGATACTAAAAATTCAATATATGATTTCATTTCTTTATTATATTATTATTTAAGGTGAATATTCTGATACATCAGATTCTGGATCCTGTGATGAAAATTACCCTGACGACTCTAATAAAAATGGCAATCGACCTGTCGACGTTGTTGATTATGAACTGAATCTTGAAATTTTTAATGTCTTAGAAGAACGAAAACGGTACTTGATTAGTAAAATTAAACCATTTCCAGTGGGCGAGCAAAGCCATCAACACATAAAAACGTATATAGATTACAATAATGCACAGTTGATAGCTCAATATTTAGCTACGAAACGGCCATTTAGTCAGTCATTTGATGGATGTCTTAAAAAAATTATTTTAGTCGTTAAGTAAGTATACTTGGTGTCTACTATAACATAATAACTCAATCCTTAACCTTTTACCCAGTGAACCATCAATCGCTGTGAGAACACGAGCAATGAAATGTCTAGCAAATATTGTTGAAGTTGATCCTCTGGTACTAAAGCGAAAGGACATGCAAATGGGTGTTAATCAAAAATTTCTAGATACTGCAATATCAGTGCGCGAAGCTGCGGTTGACTTAGTAGGAAAATTTGTACTTAGCAATCAGGAATTAATAGATCAATACTACGATATGCTTTCGACTCGAATATTGGTAAACATCATTTAAAATTATAATATGAATCAATTATATATAAATATATTTCCTTGCAGGACACTGGTGTTTCAGTAAGAAAGCGTGTAATAAAAATTTTGCGTGACATTTGTATTGAATATCCTGATTTCGAAAAAATACCTGAAATTTGTGTAAAAATGATACGCCGCGTTAACGACGAGGAAGGCATTCAAAAGCTTGTTACGGAAGTTTTTATGAAAATGTGGTTCACACCATGTGTCAAGAATGACAAGGTCCATTTATAATATTTTTAAAGGAATTTATAACTTATATATATATATATTTTTTTTTATAGTACGGTATACAACGGAAAATTAATCAAATCATTGATGTGGTGAACAGTGCTCATGACACTGGTACAACGTGGTTAGAGGGTCTTCTAATGAGCGTATGTGACAAATAATATTATTTATTTTATTTTAATTCATTATTGTTCAATTTTTTTTTTTTTAGATTTTCAAGCCAAAAGATAATATGGTTAAGCTTGATGGAAGTACTCAGGAGAGTGTAAAAAAAAATACAGAGCCACCACAAGAAATTGTATTAGCTTGCCAGCAATTAGCTGATGGTCTTGTGGACAGGCTAATTGAATTGGAGGACACCGACAATGCACGTATGCTTGGCTGCATAACTACAATTCATTTGCTAGCTAAAGTACGGCCTCAGCTCTTGATTAGACACGCTATGACAATAGAGCCTTATTTAAATATTAAATGCCATTCAGCTTCTGCAGCAAAATTTATTTGTGCAGTGGCTGATATTCTTGAAAAGGTTGTACCTCTAGTTAACAATGCGAGCGAATCGTTTTTGGCATCTTTAGAAGAGCATCTGATGCTGCTAGTAGTATCAAGAAATCAAGCTGAGGTTACAAGTTGTGTTTCTTGTTTGGGAGCACTCGTAAATAAGATTACAAAAAATTTTAAATTGATTCGCGATTGCTTTCAAAAGTAAGTCTAAATGTACTTCAAACAAACATAATTTTTAAATTCATTACTTATAGGTTTTACCGTGTTCTGGAGCTGTCTAGAAATCAAGTTGAGCAAAATGCTTTTCATATTGATAATATTTACACCCCTAGCTTTCGGAGAAGTCTATTTACTATTGGTATTTTAATGCGATATTTTGATTTTAGTTCCCCAATAGCATTAGGTAAATACATTTTTTTTTTTTTTAAACTCTTTTGAACTTAACTTGAAAATACTTTTAGGTGATGCAAATAACGGACTTCCTCCAACAATATGCGATAACGTGTTTGAATGTTTAATGTTCTTTTGTGGTTGCTCCAATCACGAAATTCGCAAACAAGCACTTATATCACTTGGCTCCTTCTGTGTTATGAATGATGATTATTTGACTCGATCAGAGCTTAAACAATTTTACTGTGATTTACTGAGGTCATCCTCAAATGATGGTGGGATTAAAATAATCTGCATGCGCAATATTTGGATATATTTAACTGAATCTGAAATGTTCATGCACAACAAAGAGAAGGAGTGTTAGTACAATATATAATAAAAATTAATAATAATGTTGCAATATTAAAAACAATATCTTCATAGGGGAAAAGCAATCAAAGCATGAAGACTTAAAGGAAATGAATGATGTTTCGTCTGGTATGGCTAGTCGCATCATTCAGCTCTATTTGGAAGAAATTCTCGACTGTTTCCTTAATCGAGACGATGCAGTCCGACTGTGGGCAGTCAAAGTCGTGCAAATTGTTCTTCGCCAAGGCTTGGTGCACCCAGTTAGAATGGTACCTTATTTGATATGTTTGAGCACCGATTTAAAGGTTGAGGTAAGCTAAAGACCTCACAAATATATTAATGATGAACTTAAATTATAATTACCTTAAATTTTAGTCAGCCCATAGAGCGGATGCCTTGTTGAAAGATATTGATAAAACATATTCAGGATTTGTGAATATGAAAGTTCAATTCGGGCTTCAACTTTGCTTTAAGCTACAGGAGATATTACAAAAAAACAATAAGGCGAAAAACGAAATTATACGAGGTTATGCGTGAGTAGATTAATTATAATCGTGGGATCTAAAAATTAAATAAAACCATTTTTGCTCAGAAAACGAGGGCCTGATCAAGTAACAACAGCTTTGAATGACTTTCTGTATACATTACTCCGAACCACAAAACCACAAAGACGCGCGTTGGTTCAGACGGTTACGAAACAATTCGATGATAATAAAACATCATTACAGCAAATGTTATACATCGCCGACAATCTTGCATACTTTCCATACGCGGTTCAAGATGAGCCTCTATACTTAATCCATCAAATCGATTTACTTATATCGATGGCTGGTACACATCTTTTAACTACTTTTAAAGAACACCTTAGACCAAGTGACAAGGGAGGAGACGTTCTTGAAGACGATGATGATGAGGAGGACCCACATGTTCTTTTTAGTCGTCTTCCTGAAGATATGACCGAAATAAAAAAATGTATAACTTCCGCGCAAGCCTGTATGCTACTACTTGTACTAAAAGAGCACCTAAAAGAAATGTATGGCTTAACTGACGGAAAAATATCACGTTATTCGCCGTCTGAGCAGAAGCTATATGAAAAGGCGGTAACACGTAGGATCGTCGCAGACTTTAATCCAAGAACCACAATCGATGTGATTAAAAAGCAACCTCAAAATTTTACAAGCACGGATACTGACTGTTTTTCTAGGGAATTATCGGATGAAGAAAAATTAGATCTTGTTGTAAAATATTTGGATGTAAGTAACTCTAAACTTCAACTTTTCATTTTAAGTTAATATCTTTAAAATTGTAGTTCAAAAAGTTGATGCTTAAACTAGATCCGGAAGACGCTGATTCTGATGCAGATGAATCTCGCGACAAGACAAAACTCAATAATTCAGGGTTAACAGAAGAAAGTTCAACAACTCCAAGTCAAATTCTCAACGACAAGCCAAACTCCGTTTCTATTCCAGCTGTGACTTATTGTAAAATTCAAACATCATCCACTACATTAATCACTGTAAGCTTGTAATATAATTATATTTTTTTCATATATATCAACAAATCTATAATATAGGACACGTCAAATATCGATACATTGACCTTTCGTACAGCGAAATCGGCACTCTCTCCTGTGAAGCTAAATGCGCGGAAACAGAACCAACAACGCAATAAAAAGAAACGACGCAAAATTATGTCATCTGACGAAGATGATGAATACAGCGGCAATGACTATTCGTGAGATGTTTTAGTCTTATTGGTTAAACCATATAATACAAAAGGGAACAGAAAATATATAAACGACTACTGAAGTTTAGGCTTAAACAATCTTAATTTAGGCATATAATATATGTATGTATTTATAATTTATTGTCTAAAGTTTAGTGTAAAATAGTATGTAATAATAACTTAAAAGTTGAATCACATAAAGTAATTAAATTTATTTTGTAGTATCTGAATTCATCTTAATCAGTTCTGTTGGAGAAAATAATCAAATAAAATAAAACTCATGTATATTTTAAAAATCGTACTAGAAATTAGCTGCTCTGAAATATTTTATGATTCGTCATAATGCAATAACTTAAGCTTTCAGGATAATTGAATATTGTACATATAATAATTTCCCAACAAATCAACTTTCGATATTCCTATTTCGAGTTATATTCAGTGGTGTAACTAGGGTATGGCAAGTTCGGCACGTGCCATGGGCGCCACTCTAGGAAGGCACAAAATGACACCTCAACTTAGTATATTCAATGTATATTTAATTTGGATAAAATTCTGGAAGTTCGTAAAAAAATGACCGAAGACAAAAATCAAGTGGAACAAGAAGTGATGCCCAGGAATTAAACAACCGAATGATTGGTTGATTTTTTTTATACCCTGAACCCATTTTCAATGGGAAATCAGGGTATAATGGTTTTGTTGAAATGTATGTAACAGGCAGAAGGAGGCGTGGCAGA